GCATGCCAGCTGTAAGACAACGAGCCATAGCAGGCGGTTAATACTCGTTTGGTAGTTTCCTCATCCATGTACCTATACTATACGCTAACTATCTTAATTTAACCCCCTCCCCCCCCCCTCTCTCAGGGACGGTCCCCTTAACCCACTAACGCTGGTATATTTTGAGGCCAAAAATAATAGTTTCCAGGTGGCTACAAAATCGGCGTGCGGGTCCAGACCAGAATCTGGACCCGCACATAAAAAGGTAATTTGCCTGACTCTGTAAAACGTGCAAACAAGTGAAATGGCGCATATATAAATATATTTTATTTGCTTAATATATTTTGTTAGTTCAAATTTTGTTAAAGGACATTCCAATAGATCCTTTATAGTGCCTAAAAATTTCAGAGCAATAACATTAATTAGAAAGTCCCTTCACATGTGCAAGTTGTACCTACCCGGTTAACCCACTAATGCTGGTATATTTTGAAGCCAAAAATAATAGTTTCCGGGTGGCTAAAAAATCGGCGTGCGGGTCCAGACCGGAATCTGCCCATGTGTGCTGCCCGCATCATATTCAGAGTGCGAGCTCTGATCCAATGTCACACTGACGAGACGCCCGGGCAATGTTTATTTTTCTGGGTGTCTCATAAATGGGACACCTGTCGTTATTGGGTCAAGGAATATCATATTCTGAACGCATTTACATCTAGGTGATCCTCCTCACACTATGACCTTGTATATGTTGTAAATATATATAAAATATATACCACATTTTACTTCTCTACCCACCAATATGGAATATGAATACTTCTGAAAATAACTATCTTGATACATCAGAAACAACAACAATAAGAATTTACAAATAAATCAACATTATGAATGAATAGTACTACAATGCCACGGACAGTTATATCTACTGTATGTAGTACTCACAAAATAATGATATGAATCATGTGAAAATACTGAAATATACTTTGAAGAAATGAAAAGAATAGAACTAAAAAAAAAAAAAATCATTACAAACTAGAGGAATTGATCCATTGATATTGAATAAATATAACTCTCAAAAAATAACTTATTATATCAAGAATACCAATATAAATTTACATGTGCAGTACATATATATGATCCCAAATATATGAAACCACCGTGAGCAGAGTAATTGAAATCTACATCTTGCTTAAATAGTTATAATATAAACCTCAAGTAAACACTTTATTTTATAAGATGACCTAAAAAAATGAAAAAGAAAATTCAGAGTAAAGGGCAAATAATGATCTATAAAATGAAAAAAGTATCATACATTCTTAACTTTTATGAAAATATGGCAAATATATAGTTTAGAAAATATTAACAACAAAAAAATACAGAATAGTTTTTTTAGTGCTTCAACTAAAGCACGAGGAATGCTCCTACAACGTGAGCGGTCACACACTCTTGGGTAATGACATGCCCCTGGTGGCTCAGAATGCAGGGATCGCATATCTGAAAATCACCTGTCACCATTGGGTTAATTTAAGAATAATCTCACCTGAGACCTCAAAGGCATTTTTGTAATGGTCTCCATCTTCCAGTTTGGTGACTTGGATACTGCTTAATGGATAATTTCCCTGTGAAAAGTTAATAGCTATTATAAAGACAAATTGGTAATAGGCACTTTTATATATTTTTTTACAATCAAATCATGTGTAGTTTATTCTTTCTTCCTTTCTTATTTGCTTGAACAACAGTGCATGAAATCTAAGAACCTTAAAGTAGCATGAAAGGTCAATGGTGATAAAAACTCTTAATAAATTATATCACTTAATATAATCAGATAAGTTATAAATCACTTCAAATACATAAAATCCCCTCTGCATCTCACCTCAAAGATAAAGGCACTCATTCTGGGTGAGACAGACAACATAACCAGTGTTGCTGGAAACAGCACTAAGTATCGATCACGGTGGTCTGGCAGGAGGGCAACTGACCCCATCCTCACCACTTCCCCTAGCGTCCCTAAGGAGTCACCACCCTCCCATCCGTGGACCCTCCCAGTGACCACTTCCAGCTCCAGCTCCTTCTGCCGTCTAATAGCTCCACAAGTGGACTGTGGATATGAGAAGATAATTTGTCTATCCTCCTACCTCTCAGCAATATAATGGTCTCATGCTCTTTTGTGAAAATTTGAGTCTTTATCATCAATTTGTTTAATAATGTTTCTTAATATTAAAAAGGTCTATCAAATCATTAAGATGAAAAAAATAAAAATATAATAATAAATAAATCAAGATGAGTTATTTCATTAATTCAAATAAAAATGCTTCACATCTCCAGTACCGCTAACTCCTTGTATACGTGGGATGATCTCTGGGTGTCTCCCCTGTCAGGATGCCCTTCGTCTAGGTGCCGTTCATACTCCTGCAGCATCCCAGCATACTTGTCTAATCGTCTGAAGGGCTTACTCAGCGCTGTTGTCAATACCATGATTCCTGGCTTGAATGCACCTTGACATTCCATAAAACTGTTTAGTTCATCTCTGAAAAAGCAAAGCAGAACTGGTAAAAATAAGAGAAGATATATATCTTATATGCAGCAATACAATAATTTTTCTTCTACAGTTTAGCATAGTAAGAACAGAAATCTTCTCTAACCCTCCTACTTGGAATCTAATTCTTTCACTTGACCAGAATTTCAAATTCACTCCAGTAGTTACCAGAAACTATATTACATATTTTCAATAATAAACAAAAAATAATATACCTATTCCCAAACTACAAGTGTGAATCCACTGAATATGTTAACACACTTCTGAGTGTGAAGGGATGATGGTCATCTTCCCCTTCCTCTCTTTCATTTGAAAGAGAGGGTAAGGTAATTCTTATTCATCTGCAGCAGCCACGGTCTGCAACCTGCACTCAACACGCAATACACCTACTACTGAGTTTGGGTCATGTCATGTTCAGCAGCCCAATCCTAATGGGTAACATAAACATCTCACCACATGGCATTCTCACTGGACCGCTGAAACAGGCTCTCGAGTTCCTGATACTCTCCTGGCCTCCTGGCCTACTTGGGCTCTGCGATCTGGAATTTTTGTACAACACATCCACCAAGCAACCAGTATGCAAGGCCAAACACTGATATGGTTTCAACTAAGAAATATGTGCTTAGTAATAATCAGAATATTTATAGGTTGCCTTTTGTTTTGGCCAGATTATGACCTTTTAGGGGCCATTCTAGGTCCAGGTCACACCAGCTTACCTTAAATAAAAGGCCTCAAAGAGTGGCCCTCTATAAAGAAGGGCCACAAATGGTAACCACTTTTCAGAAACTGGGATTTCACTTTCAGGCCTCCTTTTTTAAGGTAGAATTTTTATTTAGAGTTAAATGAACTATTAAACAACATAAAATCTCAGATTATTAACTGATTTCTCTCTCTCTCACACACACACAAACACACACACACACACACTAATTCACTCACTCTAACAAGTTGAGGGGTAGCTCACATACCAGCAGGTACTTCTTGCAACTCACTGCTGAGATCTAACTGGCTCCCCCAGACAAGTCACGGCTCTCTCATTGAACCCCAGCTTCAAAGTATTTAAGGGGACCGTCCCTGAGAATGCCTACCTTGCTCTACTCATTTTATCATAAAAAAATATTGATTTGAGATAACCTTTGGACTGTTTTTGCATAATGTTGAGTACATTATTGTGTTTCATCTTATATATCATTTTAACCTTGCCCCCCCATGCAGGAGGGGCAAAAAAAGTAGAAATTCGATTTTTTTTTTTTTTTTTTTTTTTTTTTACTGTCTTTGGTACATCAGAATGGTGATAGTTTTTCCCGATTTACCTCAGAAATATTCTTGAGTTAGATCTATCCAATCCTAAGGCTCTGTAGATTTCCAATTCTTTTTATTTCCTTTTTTTTGTATCAAAGTTTGTGTAAACACAATTTGGATAAAAAAAACATTGGGAATTTGGGATGCTTGCCAAAGTTTGTTACCACTGTTTTTTTTTCACTAAATCTAATGATGCTATATATATATATATATTATATATATATATATATATATATATATATATATATATATATATATATATATATATATATAAAACTTATTTAGTGTACTGTACCAATGCGATGTTTACAAAGCCAATTGGAAGTATAATTTTCAATAAGGACGATATTCTGTAAAGGTATGTCTCGTTTTGTTTGTTTTTCTTCTTCTGATAAAAAAAGTGGACATTTGTCTGAAAAGTCTAATAAATGCATTAAAACATAGAGACAACTAATTTGAACCTCAAACTTTTTTCCTTTTTTTTTTTTCTTTTTATTTAATTTTGTTGAAATGGAGAACTGTGGATGGCAGTACCAGTACATATTCATCTTAGCTATAAAGTCCTTGCATGAATACAACATGGCTGTGTTTATAATTTTCGAGGAGGATCATATGTATGTAAACAACACATGCACATAAGCTTAACCATTTTATTCATCATCATTTAGTATGCCTACATCAACTTTTTTTGTAAGGCCCTGTTCAAGCGAGCAATTTTAGTGGCCTGACTGCTAGAAGCGCAACTACTGAGTGAATGTTCACACATAGCACTTAATTTGGCCCGACTCATCTCTCGCCCACTATTGTATTTTATTTATTTTTTCATCTCTCTTCGGTCGCTGATCATACACAGCTGGTAATGGATGTAGATGAGGTGGCATGCGCATGGGCTTTACATCGTCGTTTGCAGCAGCGGAAGAGGAAACAGAAATTATTGGGTTCATTCAATTTTAAATGACAGACTTGCCCATGGAATGACAGACTTGCCCATGGAATGGTCTTCACATTGTATCCAAAGTTACGAGAACATGAATCCCAATTTCTCTAATGACAAGAGAATGTCCATCACATCAGGATGACAAGCTAGGGGAAGTGGAAGTTACTGTCGCCTGTCTGTCTGCCTCAACTCCACATGATGCTCTCTCATTGGTTGAATCCCACTCCCTCCAGCCAATGAGGCGCACCATCACTATGAAAACGCAGTGGCTGTCGTCACGTGTGTCGTCATGTGTTGCATAGCACCACATGTTCCTGGAGTGGCTGAGCAGTCGGGCGACTGTGAGGAAAATCTCTTAGTCGCGCCACAGGTCAGCCAAAAGCCACTAGTGTGTGCACTTCTATTCACATCCATTGATCTGGCAGTCGTGTTTCTAGCAGTTACGCTACTAAAGTCGGTTGTCTGAACAGAGTCTACAGAAATAAAATATATTGATTATCCCTATCAAACTACTTTCCTTAACAATATTCAAAAGTTACAGTTTTCAACGAGAAACAAGTGTAGAGATGGTGTTTAGTCATTTGCACCCATTATCTTTGCTAAGAAGTGCATAAAATTATCAGACGCCTAAGAGTGGTTGGATATTTGCGTATTCATGGTACCTACACAAAATGTAATGTCTACACAAAATATTTTTTATCGGAAATACACAAAAAAGATACGATAGCTGTTTCAACTCTAGATGAAGACAAGCAAGCTCAAAATTCCAAATACCTTTTACTTTAGCACAGGTATTACTGTGTTCTATCATCTTCAACATGAAATAATCAGTATCTCGCGCTCTTTACAGCAGAAACGGCCAACTTCAAATCAAATAAAATTTACAATGCTGGAAAGTACCAACGGATGGATGAAGTCAAACTGAAATATTTTAATTATTTATATGGTCATTTTCAAACATTAGTGCTTCGTACTCTGCATACATACAGATCTGTATGTAAGCAACAACATATTACCAGGGAGTCCCAATGGAAGGCATATTTCATATGTAAAAGTACACAAAACTTACTTCTTTTTTTTTTTTTTTTTTTAGATCATTTTCACAAAATACTTTGTCATAAATCACTGATACAGGTGGTCCCCTACTTGCAAACTCCCGAGTTACAGACTTTGGTATATACAAAAAAAGTTGTCGGGAGCGAGTGAGAGTAGCACGCATCGTAAACTATAGCTCTCTCACTGTACCTACACGGTCTCATTCAAACGTGTGTTGTGCTCTCTCCAGAACTTTGTGATTTTGTGATTGTTTTGCGAAGTTTTTGCCCTTATCAAGGGGGCTGTCCTCTTGAATTTTCAACGAATATACTAAAAAAAAATGAAAAACATCGCCTGTAATCTTGTATGCTTTGCTATCTCGTGACGTAATATTTTTGCTAAATACAAAAAAATAAAAGAGTTATGGTTAAATCTCCTCATCCGTGCAAATATACTCAACAAATTTGTTTTTTTGGATTTTTTTTCAATCTATTTAGGTATTCTCTGGTAGCTAGCTGGCAACTCTGCTTGCAGCACAGCTGACAGCCGCGATAAAGAGACAGGGCTGGCTGTCACCACAAGGGCTTACCTGGATCTCTGGGTCCAAGGTATTTCGTGTTTTCTATCGTAGATGATTTAAAGAGATTGACACCCCAACGACGGACAAGACGATTGGCTCTTGGTGTAACTGCTTTGGGTGCAGTTGCGCAATACCTGCTTTGGGCTAGTGCCTTTAATTACAGCCTTGATGTGCGAGTAATTAAAAGCACGACGCACAGTGGCAGCCGATAGTTTCGCTGCGAAGTGTTCGGCCGAACACATAAGGGCTCACGCCCGTTCGGCAGGGTTCCGACCCCGACCGGCCTTCCCAAATAGAGACTGTTGGCTACCCTGTGTGCTTCACCGTTTTTTATACCATTTCCGCCCTTTCATCGTCCAGTTGAATTAGCTCTGCTAGCCTCCCCTCTACCCATCATCCATCACCCTCGCTATGGCGTAACCCTATGGGTCACGTTATCAAATTAGCGTATTCTGGGGAGCCTATCTCTTGCGAGGAGGCTCTCCAGAATATCTTCATTATCACTGAGGTGGCAGTCACACACCTCTTTAAGGTCCATAATGGCTTCAAAGTGACAGTTGCCAAACCGAACACTGACCCCATTTCTTTCGGCCGACGGCCAAAGAAAGTTAAAAGACCACGGCTTCTCACCTGTTCCCTCCCCCGAGATGAAGGCTAAATGTACGATCGTGGCCAAAAAGATCGACAAGACGATCCCCCCACGATCGTGCGAGTCCATCTGCCAGGAGGTTTCCGTCAAGAACGGTGTCACTGTTCTCGACGTCTATAAGCCACCCGAGTCGCGAATCGTCAAGATTCGCGTCTCATCCCCCGAGGAAGCCCAGAAACTTCTCTCTCGGGACTCATGATGTTTAATACATCGGTCCCCACCTACAACTGGAACCCGAATGCTTTATTCACATCGACCAATGCCTAAACTGCTACCGCTTCACCACAAAAACACCAATGTACACACCCCCAGAGATGCTCTCGGTGCGCCGGCGACGGTCATTTCTTCGCCAGGTGCACTGAAAGCATCAAATGCTGCAACTGCGAGGGATCGCATGTCGCAGTTAGTGGATCCTGCCCTAAACGGAAGGAAATACTCAAGGCAAAACGAGCTGAGCTCCGCCAAGACACAAACACTGTACCTTCCTA